AAAAAAAATAGTTTGAAAAAAAATTATCAAACATATATATGTCTAAAAGTATTATGTGGTTATACGAAAAAACTCTCAACTGTAATCCCAAACACACCCTAAGTAATTAAAGCTTATATGTTGTGTCCCAAAATAATTGATTATAGTGAAGCAATTATAGTCTAATAATTAAAATTTATTTACTTTTTATTATAATTTATATAATATAGCTGTTGAGGTTAGAATAATGATAAATGAAATAAAAATTTAGGATTAAAAATATGATATAAATCACATCATTTAAAATATTAAAAATGTAAATTTTATATTATTTAATAATTATTTTTTTTTAATTTTTAAAATCTATAATATTATACATATAAATTAATTTAATGATATCACATATGTTACATCATTAGTATTAAAATTTTATCAAAAATCCTTTTTTCTTTCTATCATTACTCTTGATGTTAATATCTTGTTAAATTTTAAGAATAATATTTTAATGAAAAGATAATTATGTTGACGTCAATAATTAAATTAGAGTCAAGTTTTTTGAAATAAAATTTTGAAGTAACAATTTAATTTTTTTAAGGGATAATTTGCTTCATTTAAAAAAAAAACCAGGGGCAATTTGCACCATCTATCAAAACAGTTGAGAAAGGGCTAAAACGCCACAACACGATGAGTGCAGGGGCTTTTTTTTTTTTTTTTTTTTTTTGGCCCTCTTCGCCCATTTGTTCAGCCATAAAATCCTTGTTACCGTCCCAAAGTAGTTGACTCACAGGAGAAGTACTAATGGAATTACTTGTGATATCCGTTAAGGACAAGGATCTCTGTCCCTTTCTCTTTTCAAAATCCAATCTGTGTATTGAAGCAAAAGTTAAGCACCTTGCATTTGCAAGCAACATGAGGCTAGACACAAACACATTTATTACTAAGGTGCCAAGAGAAGATTTAGTTTACTTCTCTACAATTCCAGGCACCTGCCTCCTGATTTTGTTCTTCCAAGGCTTCTATCCCAGCAACACCATCTACAATAACCTCATCCACCACATTATCTCTATGGTTTAACCAAGGTACAAACATTATTCCATCCAAATATGACTTTAAACTTGAAAGATGAAGTACAAATTGTTGTCGGTGACATTAACTAGTTACTCAGATGGCTTTTAAAAAGAGAAACCGGAAGAGAGGTTTAACTAAGATCTTACAAAGTAGAATAATACTTTTCTTGTGCAATGGAATGAATGCTCCTTTAGTCTTTTCCACTTTTCTTTCTTTAATTTCTGTTTCTTGTTCATTAGTTTATATTACTAAGGTCATCCACACATCAGTTTCCTAACTTGATATAATACTAATACATTCAGATTGTGGAAAAAATGAAGAAAATGGAGATGAACACGAACGTGACTGATAACAAAATCATTGCCAAAACTCTGTTCCACAGTGCCATGAAAGGCGAGTGGAACAACGTTGTTGAAATATACCGGCAAGATTTAGCTGCCCACAAGGCCACGATCATCCGGTCTGGCGACACGGTGTTGCACGTTGCTGTCTCGGACATCCAAGAAGACATCGTAGAAGAACTATTAAGTATTATTAAGCAGAACAACACCAAGGAGGCTTTGGAAGTCAAGAACGAGCGTGGTGACACTGCTCTGCACATTGCCGCTTCACTGGGAAGCGTGAGGATTTGTGGTTGCATTGCTCAAGTGAAACCCTCCTTGGTCGGTGCTCACAACAACGAAAACGAGACCCCTCTGTTTATCGCCGCCCTCCATGGTAAAAAGGATACTTTCCTTTGCCTCAACTCTTATGTTGATCCAGAACATAGATACTCTTATTCTAGAAGGAAGGATGGCCAGACCATTCTTCACTGTGCCATCTCCGGGGACTACTTTGGTGAGTTTAGTTACAATTCTTTGCTCTACCAGGGACTACTTCGATAATATTAGTTACAATTCTTACTCTAGATACAAGGATCTAAATGAAGTTTTAATTACTTCTTTTGTGCACTATTGTTAACAGATTTGGCATTTCAAACCATTCATTTGTATGAAGCGCTCGTCGAATCTGTGGATGAGCATGGACTCTCTCCCCTTCACATTCTAGCAAGTAAAACCACCGCATTCAGGAGCGGCAGCCACCTTGGGCGAGGCAATGGAATCATTTATCACTGTAATTTAGCACTTCAGATGTTCTTTCTAGTAGTCCTTATTTACTATCCATAAATGAATGGTCTTTTTTTTTTTTGCAATCCAAATTACACTGAATTACAAAAAAAATAAGTACTTATTGGTTGGGAGACTGCTCCCATATTGAGGAGATTCTCTCATCCAATAGGCAATGAATGAGATTTGGTAGTCCGACATAGTCTGAATACATTTTTGATCCATGAATTGATAAATTTTGGTGCTTACTATGAATCTTGGAAGGTATATTTGTTGATGATCTGAAGATCGACTTAACATTTCACCAACCCACCAACATCTCCAAGGAAAATACAGAGTATGAACTATCCGGACAATTATGCAACTTGTATTCACTTCCTTAAGCTCTTGAAGAAACTAGTCCAACCCGGTCTGTACTAGTAAAATTGCCATGACCCTTTTTAGTTCAAATTTCATCTTTAGTTCAACTAATTAATTGGTATAATTCCCATTTCAGCGTTTGGATCTTCTAGCCCGCAAAAAGATGCAGAAAACCCCGAAGCAACAAACTACAAACCTCAGGGATCTTCTAGCCTGCAAAAAGACACAAAAAACCTTCGAGCACCAAACAAAAGAGCTCAGGGACATCAATTACTCCCTCCCAACTACCACACATGCTTTAATTTTGTCAAGCTTGTATCGAAAGCAATGCTAATTGTTCTTGGATTAGGTTCAAAAATCAGATTTTTGTTTATTAGGTTTGGTATCAGATATGTTTTTATGGTGATATTAATTGATGTTGTTTTTATTTTGTGATTATAATTAGGATCACGAAGAATCAAGAAACTAGAGGAGAAGAAAAAGAAGCATAGATGGTCTGTCCAGATCATGAATGAACTAGTCGAGCGAGCTTCATTTTACGAGTATGAAGACAATGGCAGCAACCCACAACCACCGTCTGATGATCACGAAACAAAACCTTATGCAGTTGTTAATGGCGGTGATGTAACTTTTGTAAAAGAGGCATTCCAGGAAAACGATCAACCCCCACAGTCCAAGGTGACTCCTGAGAATAACAGGAATCAGGAACAAAATGAGAAGAAGGGTTCGGAGAGTAAATTGAAAGAGGAGAACGCAAAGAAGGAAGGTATAAGCGTAATAAAGAGGGAAACGCCCATTTTGATTGCAGCCAAGTGTGGAATCACGGAGATGGTAGAGAAAATTCTGGAAGTTTTTCCTATGGCAATTCACGACATGAACTCTGAAAAGAAGAACATAGTGCTGTTGGCAGTGGAGAGCCGGCAGCCTCATGTCTACCAGCTCTTACTCAAGCGAAACATCTTGAGAGACAGCATTTTCCGAGCCGTTGATGCAAACGGTAACAGCGCACTGCACCTCGCCGCCATGCTTGGCGACCATAAGCCTTGGCTTATCCCCGGTGCTGCTTTACAGATGCAATGGGAAATCAAGTGGTACGAGGTAATTAATCAAAAAAGTTGAATCTTTCCTGGGTTTCCCTTTTCATAATTTTCAGGCTTAATTAGTGAATTATTCATCAAATTCATGCAGTTTGTGAAGAATTCCATGCCGTTTCACTTTTTCGTTCGCTACAACAAACAGGGGAAGACCCCGAGGGACGTTTTCAGCGACACCCACGATGATCTGGTCAAGAAAGGTGGAGAATGGCTGACTAACACCTCTGAATCATGCTCAGTGGTGGCAGCGCTAATCGCCACCGTTGCCTTTGCCACATCGACCGCCGTTCCTGGCGGAGTCAAGGATAGTGGCAAACCAACCCTGGAATTCGAGCCTGCATTTGACGTGTTCGCCATCTCATTTCTCATTGCCCTCTGCTTCTCCGTCACCGCTGTGGTCATGTTCCTTGCAATTAATTCTCACGTCTCGGTACCAAGAGAGAGATTTCGGAGCAGACTTGCCTAGGAAGCTTTTGTTCGGTTTAACGTCCCTGTTCGTGTCCATAGCTTCGATGCTTGTATCTTTCTGCGCTGGACATTTCCTCGTTCTCAAGGATAAGCTGAAATATGCTGCTTATCCGGTGTACGCTGTGACGTGCTTGCCGGTGACGCTTTTCGCAGTGGCGCAGTTTCCTCGCTACTTTGATCTGGCTTGGGCCACTTTCAAGAAGGTCCCCCAGCGCAGCTACAGAGCTGTTCCTCTTTAGATTTCTAAAATTTCTAAAATACCATTTCACAAATATGACGTTTCTCAGCTCACGCGTGAAGATTGCCGCAGACACTTCAAAGAAAAATGAAAATCAAGTGGGGTTCCACACAGACAATGCGTTGTGTTTGTTTTGTTGCTTGTCTGTAGATTTTTTCTTTCCCCCAATTTATCATGTTTGATTCCGAAGCTTCTCTACTATGAATAAAAGCATAAGTAATGATTTGCTTCATTTCACATTGCACTAAGAGAGGTTACATAATGGTTTAAACTTATAAAGCAGGGTTTTTACCAAAAAAATAAAAAAAAAAAACTTATAAAGCAGGGTTGTTTATATTAACTGTCACGCCCCATGACCCAAATCCGGGGACGCGACAGACGCCGTGCACTCGTGAGAGGGTCCCACAAATGCACAAGGCTCGGAACTTATCATATCACAATTTGATACCACAAAATCTAAAGATAAAATCTTAAAATCTACTCTGATATCATAAAATCTCCTAATACAATCTAGTTTACAAGATCATGATTTATTTCTAAAATCTATATTAATCTCGAAATGGCTAGCCTTCTAACTCGTCACTTTCAGTGGTTCCCCATCCTCGATTTCGCTTCATGAAATGGTGGACAAAGAAAAACTATGAGATAAAGTCAGTAAGTAAAATATGGATTGCCCTTAATTAAACTTATAGCATGCCAACAAGTATAATCACGAAAACAGATACAGTATGGGAATGAAATAGACGTCTCCTCTATAGGTCATGGCCAGTGTTATAAACCTCCCACTGACAGGCACACTATTTGCTGGTGTATAACCCCCACTAGCAGGGTTGAACGAACCGGTTCTATCAATAACATGTCGACATGTGCTAGCGTTTATAAACCTCCCACTAGCGGGCACAGTAAAACATGACTATATCGGAGACAAAACAGGCAAAAGTTAACAGAAAAATCATAATTCACCAATCACTTTCAAATCATCAAGACAATCAATTAAATTTCAAGTAGGTATGCTCAATTCAATAAAAAGAATAATAATCTTATTTCAAATCAATTATGCTCCTTTTTTGTATAAAATGGGTTTAGTCCCGCCACCACTTCAAAAACAAGTCAAAACATGCTTTTAAAAACAGTACGGGCATTACCATAAATTTACTTATCTCACTCGCATAAACTGAAAACTCGATCTCAGTGTTAAATTGACAGAACAATCAGGAACCTAATCAAAATATTCCAGAATTAATTCTATAAGCAATTTCATTGACCGGATTGTGTATATATATTTATATACACAAATACATATATAAATGGTTTCCCAATCTCACGGATAAAACAATGGGGAACAAGGCTTTTATTTCAATTCCAATTTTTTTCCCAAGTTGACTCCCGGACAAACAAATGGGAAAAACAGGGCTTGGCAACACAACAAGTCACGAGATTTATTTATTTTTCTCTCCAAAATTGAACACTACAATCGGGTTATGTATATGAAAAATCACCCATACAAAATTCTCCAATTCTCACAGCAAAAAGGGAGGAGCACGGCTTTGGCAAAAAAAAAAAAACAGGGGCTAAACACACTGGATTTTCTTCCAAAAATTACAGCAACCAACTCAAGCAATTTATACATGAATTAAGCTCAATTATGCTCCAATTACTACCGAAATTCATTCCCCATTTCAACAGAAATTCACGAACAGTACAAGGGCAAATCAAAGGCAGAAAATTCAAGATTCAGGGCAGCAAATTAACGGACAAAATCCAGCAATTAAAGGATAATTTTAGGCTCAAAGGGGCTGTCCATACCCGAATTTTCCAGCAAAAACCGGAGTTGCAGTTTGAGGAAGAGCCGGCGGCAAGGAAGGAAAATTCTGCAGGGGACTCACGGGTTTAACCCAAAATTAAAGGAACCCAACTTAAATCAAAGCTAAAAGGATGAAATCATGGCTGTTTCTTACCTAAAAATCAAAGCAATTCGCCCCCCCACAAAGCAGGAGCAGCCGGCGGTGAAGAGGAGGAGCAGAGCAGATCTGGAAATTCCAGCAGCGGGAGAAGGTTTCTAAGCTCCTAAATCTTGTGATTGAACAAGAAAGAATGAGGAATTTAAAGCTTTCTACCGGTTTCTCAAAGGCTGGTGCCGGGTTCCCATTTTTTTTTTCTCTCGAGTTGCAGCGGAGAAACAAATGAGCAGAAACACGAAATGGCTGAAGAAGAAGAAAGAAGAAAAAGAAAAGTAGCCGACCCTTCTAGATTTTCCTCCTATAAGTCCCTGAACTTTGAAATATTTGGCTATTAAGTCCCAAAACCATATTTCCTCTCACAAAGGTCCTCACTTAATGCTAAAATATCACAAAATTTTGGGGTATTACATTAACTTTTTGCGATAACAAAGGAAAAGTACCAGATAACTGTCAGCTGCATAGAGAAATGTTGGGTTAGGCCTATCCCTCCTACGTGGAGAAATGGCCAAAGATTTGTTGGACTAAGCCCACACTTATTAAGCCCACTTGAAGCTATATTCTACAGCCTTGCAAAACAAAGAAGGAAGTCTAATTTGGACAGCAACAAGTGGAGAGCATCTGAGTGGAGCCAGCTGGTAGAAAGGAAAAGAAAGCACAAGAGAATTCTACAGATTTGGAACTATATAGTTCTACAACTTTGTCTGATCCACAAAAGTTCACCATTGGATTAAGTTGAAATTTTCTCTTGGTGTTCTTGAGACATTGATCTACATTTTGGAGGGTCAATTTTTGGTTTGGAGCTTTGAAGGTTTTGATTTTGTGCCCAAAATAATAGCTTATTTTTGTGGTTGTCTTTCCTTGGGTTCCATTTCTTCGTTGGTTTGTGGCCAGTTATTCCTCTTATTTGGTGTTGTTTTTGTGCTTTTTTAGAAAAGGATATTTTGTGTACTCTCTGATTATAGTGGAGTTATTTTTAGTGGATTTGAGGTACCATGATTTTTACCCATTTTTGTGGTTTTCCACATAAAAATATTGTGTCTCTTATGGTGGTTGGTTTGCCTTAGCCATAATTACCGTTTTGCATATTTTAGTTATTGCCATTATTTTACTTATACTTGATTTACTTTGCTCCTAACAATTTTAGATAGATGGGGGGGGGGGATTTTATTTTTTTTATTTTTATTTATTTATTTTGTTTTCGTTGTGCTTAGGTGACACCTTGTTCTTTCCAATAGATTAGTATCATAGCTTTTGGTTTGTTATTTTTCAAATATCTATTTGAATTATAGCGGCTAATACAAGTAAAATGATCTACTTGAATGGTGTAAATTATTAGAAATGGAGAGTTAAAATGAAAAATCTTTTATTTGTGAAAAAAATGCATTTGCTGGTGTTCAAGACTCTAAAACCAGATTCTATGACTAATGAAGAGTGAACTTTTAATCACTAGCAGAGTTGTGGCTATATAAGGCAATGGCTGGAACACAACGTCTTGAATCACATTACTAATGAGATACATGCTTGAACTTTGTGGGAAAAGCTCGAGACGCTTATGCTTTAAACATTGGCAATAACAAATTGTTCCAACTAAAGCAATTGATAAATTTGAACTACAAAGAAGGAAGTCCTATTTCAGATCATATTAGTGATTTTTAGGGCATTCTTGATTACTTGTCTAATATGGGTGTCAAGTTTGATGATGAGATTCAGGACATTGCTTAATACTGTGCCTAATTCATGGGAGACTTTTCAGGTTTCATGGACTTATGCTACTCCCAATAGTGTTATGACCATGGAATATGTTGAAATTGATGTCTTGAATGAGTAGGTGAGAAGAATTGATCAGGCTGCATCTCTTTCAACCTTATAATCAGATGTTCTAGTCATTGAAGATAGGGGGAGAAGCAAAACTAAGGGTCAAGAAGGTAGAGATAAAAGTAGAAGCAAGTCAAGGTTAAAGTACAAAGATCTTGAATGCCACCACTATGGTAAAAAGGGACATATCAAGAAATATTGTTTTTATCTTAAAAAGGAGATGAGGCAAGAGAAGAACAAAGAAGATGATAATGAGAATTATGTTGCTACTACCATTAATAATGATCTTCTTTTTTGCTGGTGATGAAAATATCATCAATTTTGCATCCTATGAGACAAGTTGGATTGTGGATTCTGATGCTGCATACCATGTTACACCTAGGAAGGAATTTTTCACATTTTATACTTCTAGTGATTTTGGGGTATAGGACATGGGTAATCATGGCCAGAAAGGTGATTGGTATGGGAATAGTTTACTTGCAAACCAACAATAGCACAAAGTTGGTTCTTAAGGATGTCAAGCATGCACTTGATATCCAACTCAATTTAATATTTGTAAGAAAGCTAGATGATGATGGTTAGTTTAGTTCTTTTAATGATGGACAATGGAAACTAACTAAGGTTTTCCTTGTTGTGGCTCAAGATTTCAAGTCTTCCAACTTGTATTTGATGTAGGGTTCTATTTCTAGTGGCTTTGTTAATGTAGCTGGAAAACATGAATCATCAAAATTATGGCACAAGAAGTTTAGCCATATGAGTGTGAAAGGGATAAATTGCTTGGCTAAGAAGAATGTGTTGTCTAGATTAAAGGAAGTACAGTTGGAAAAAATTTATCATACACAAATTATTGAATTTTTATTTAACAAAAAAAATAAATATTTAACCATACAATTATAAAAATTTAGTGAAAGATGAAACTTACTGTGTAATGAAGATCCATGAGAGTTAAAGTATTAATCTACAAAATAATTATTAAAATATTGATTTATATATTTTTTCACTAAAAAATTTATTTATATATACCATTAAATTATAAAAATTACATTTAAAATTAACTTAATATAACTTAAAACAGATACAACAACAAAATAAAACCAATTCTTAAATTGCTAAAAAATTAGGTTAAAATACCAAATTTGGTTCCTAATAATTTAGATTTATACCAAAAATTATCCTTAAAGTTTAAAAATATCAAAATTATCCCTAAACTTTAATTTTTAATGCCAAAATAGTCCTTATGTTAACAAAAAGTGTCACTTGATTCATTATTTTGCCACAAAATCGATTTTTTTAAAATATTAATGACAAAAAATCAAATAATTATATTTTATTATCATGGTATATTTCTAATTGCATATCATATTGATATGTAATTAAAGTTGAATGATTAAATTGGTACTTATAATCAAAGTTTTAAGGTTTAAGTTGATGCTTATTTTCAAAGTTTAAGGGCTAAATTGGTATTGAATTAAAGTTTAGGGATTACTTTGGTTCCAAACATTAAAGTTTAGGGGCAATTTTAGTTCTTTTAAAGTTTGAGGATAATATTGACATAAATCCGAAAGTTGAGGGACTAACTTGGTTCTTTAACCAAGAAATTTTGAGTCCCTCAACTTTAACATTTTGCATAATTTTTGTCTCTCAACTTTTTTATACACTTTTTTAATCCTTCAACTATGAAAAATATATTTCTTTTAAATCTTTTTGTTAGTTAATCCGTTAAATTTATTTAATTATGCACATTTTTTGTCCATAAACTCCATGTTGGACAAAAAATGTATATATTAAAATAAATTTAATGGATTAATTAAAAAAAATAAAAAAAATGCAATTTTTATAGTTAAGAGATAAAAAAAATGCACAAAAATGTTAAGGCATGAAAATTGTGTAAAACTTTCAGGGGACCAAAATTCGTATTTAACCTAAAATTTACTCAAAATAACAAATCTAACAACACTACTAAATTTCCATCATTCAGCAACATGGAAGCACGTCAGCGAAAGTGCTACCCATGTTGCTGAAAGTACTTTAGCAACATGAAGCATGTTGCTAAAGCCTTTCTTGGTGAAGCCATGCTCAGTAATGTATCAACAACAAGGTCCATGTTGCTGATACCTGGCACCCTCTTCACCGACGTACCTCTTGTTGTTGAAAATGGAGATTTACCGACATGGTTCATGTTGCTAAAAAATTCACCGGACCGGCCACCAGAATTTTTCACCATTTTTAGCAACATACTTTTTGTTACTGAAACCGGAATATCACCGACATAGTTCATGTCGGTTAAAATGAATTTCAACAACAAGAAACATGTTGCTGAAAGTGGAGCTCAATTATATGGGAAAGGGTTCATCGGAAATGGGGAAGGATTCATTGGAAAATATCAGCAAGGTGGAGTATGTTGTTGAAAGTTACTTTCAGCAAAAAGAAGTATATTGCTGAAAGTGGAGCTCAATTACATAGTAAAGGGTTCACTGGAAATGGGGAAGGATTCATTGGAAAATATCAGCAAGATGGAGTATGTTGCTGAAAGTAACTTTCAGCAAGAAGAAGTATATTTCTGAAAGTGGAGCAGCTTTTCAAAGGATGGAGTGTCCTGTACAACTTTCAGCAACATAGGACTTGTTGCTGATACATATTTTCAGCAACAAAGAATCCCATGTTGCTGATATATTGTTGCTAAAAATCAAAGTTTTAGTAGTGCAATGCTAATATCAAATACTTATGACTAAAATTTCACAATTAATTGTCAAAATTTCACTAGAAAATTATCAAAAAATTATTGGTAATTGTCCATAAAATTTAGCTAAAACAGCAAATCTAATAATATTAATATCCAATGAACTAATTAATGATAATATTTGATAGTTTAAATAAAAATATATATATAATATTTAAATTTAATGTAAAAATATATAAAAAAAAAGTAATATTACATAAATTTCACTTATCACTGCTTGATGCACCTACTGTAAGAAGAAAAATGATAAAGCAATTCGAAGGAAAGAATGGAGGAAAAGAAAGTACAAACTACTTGTTGCTGAAAGAGGAAGACGAAAATGAAAAGGGGTTCGTCAGGTAAGAAGTGACTTTTACTGACCAGATTCACGTTGCAAAGTAATAAAACTGATCATCACTGCATTGCTTCAAGATGCTGGTTGACCAAGGTCATCACTGAGAAAATTATGGTTGCTAATAAAAATTTACCAACATGAACCTTGTCAATATATGGAGAAAAAGCTGCAAAACCTGGCACCAGTAATCGGGTTCATGGGGTGGGTTGCAGGATTCTGAAATTATTGACGTGTTCTTTGTCAGTAACTTTACCAAGAAAAATGTTGTTGTAGATGTTACAATTTATTGAGTGATCTTCGTCAGTAAGTGGAGTTTTGGTCCGTGAACCACTAGAGTGAATATTGCAAAATATTACTCATGAAGAGCATGTGTGTATAGTATAAATCTACCAAGAAAATTTTTGTTTAAACTTTAAATAATATAAATTACTTTTATTTTAATTGTTTTTATTTGTGTAAACAAGTTTCTTGTCGATAAGATGATCCTTTACCAACAAGAATTCTTATGTCGGTGATTTTTGGTCGGTAATATAAGGTTTTCTAGTAGTGCCGGCCAACCAAGATGGTCATGTTTACGTTTGTAGTTGTTCAAATCTCCTTTTCTCAAAATTTCTTTATTTTTAAATAAAATAATAATTATTT